CTTGAGCCACAGGTGCCGAGCCAAGATAGATACTTTCATAGTGAATAAAATTTTCACTTGCTATCTTGTTACAAAATATTACAAATAGTTGACCAAATATCTTTTTTAATTTTTTTGAGACAGTCTCACTGTGTCACCCTCAGTAGAATGCACCCACCAAAAGGCCTGGCTATTTTTTGTTATAGTTGTCATTGTTGTTTAGCTGGCCCTGGGCAGTTTTGAACCTACCACCCTTGTTGTATGTGGCTGCTTGGTGCCATAACCACTGTGCTATGGGCGCTGAGGTTTTTGTTTTTGTTTTTGTTTTTTTTTTGAGACAAGAGTCACTATGTCACCCTTGGTAGAGTGCTATGGTGTAACAGCTTACAGCAACCTCAAACCCTTGGACTTAAAAGAGATTCTCTTGCCTCTGCCTCCCAAGTAGCTGGAACTACTGGCACCTGCCACAACACCCAGCTATTTTTTGGTTGCAGCCGTCATTGTTGTTTGGCGGGTCCAGGCTGGATTCAAACCTGCCAGCTCAGATGTATGTGGCTGGTGCCTTAGCTGCTTGAGCCACAGGCACCAAGCCACAACAGTAGTTTTATTTTATTTAATTTTTTGAAACAGAGTCTCACTATATCATCCATGGTAGAGCGCTATGGTGTCACAGCTCACAGCAACTTCCAATTCTTGGGATGAGTGCCTTAGCCTCCCAAGTAGCTGGGACTACAGACGCCCACCACAATGCCTGGCTTTTTGTTTTGTTTTTTTTTTGCTGTTGTCATTGTTGTTTAGCAGGCCTGGGTTGAATTTGAACCCATGAGTCCCTATGCATGTGGCCAGTGCCCTAACCACTGAACTATGGTGTCCTGCCAACTGTAGTTTTTTAATAGAAAAGGGAGTCAAGTTGGAACTAACGAAAGGGAGAGAGAAACTCATGGGGTGTGGTATAGGAGGATCCCAAATGTGAAACTTTCATGGACTCCAGGATGTGTCATTTTCCCAGCACTGTATTGTGTGACAATACACAAAGTATTACCAGCCACGGGAACTCACCAGAACTTAAATGTCTGGAGTTTTTATTCAAGTTCATTATGTAGTCATAACTGATTGAATTGTTGGTTACAAGAAGATTGAACTCAATCCAAGATCCCTCCCCTGCCTGGACTGATAGCTGGCAGCTCCAGCCTCTACACTCCAATCATGGGTTCGTCTTTCTGGCATGGCCAGAGTCTACTCTACATCATCTTGTTGGCATAAGCTGTCTAGGGGCCCACCGTGAGAGGCATCATTAGCAGAAGGTATAAGGGCCACCCACCATTACTGAAATAGACACTCCTATTACTTGAAAAATTCCAAGACTTTAGAGGCTATCTCCTAGGAACTCTGAACAAAGGCCAAGCAAATTCTTTGTTACTAGGTAAATTGCAATGTGACAAAACACATGGAGAGTAATGAACAAGTGAGGGTTTACCACCAACTTCTTAGAGCTGTGGGATTCCACTCTTCCCTCCTAATAGGTACTATACCACACATGACATGTAACCAATACTGAACCCATATAATATTAGTAAAGCTTATTTTACTTAAAATATTAAATAAATAGGCTTGGCTTCCATAGCACAGTGGTTATGGTGCCAGCCACATACACCAAGGTGATAGCCTGGGCCAGCTAAACAACAATGACAACTGCAACAACAACAACAACAAAAAACAGCTGGGCATTGTGGTGGGCACCTGTAATCCTAGCTACTTGGGAGGCTAAGGCAGGAGAATCACTTAAGTCCAAGAGTTTGAGGTTGCTGTGAGCTATGATGCCACGGAACTCTACTGAGGGCGACATAGTGAGACTCTATCTCAAACAAACAAACCAACAAAAATATTAAACAAATAGAATTTATAATATTAATATTTTGTTTCTTTGGATTTTTGTTTTATACTACCTGGTAGATCCTTATACTATCTAGGGTACTTATCCCCCATTTTGGAGAACACTATCAGAAGACCCCTTCACGGAATATTAATAACGTAAAGGGATTGGGGGTAGATTATATTACTGTTTCCAGAGTCCCCCATGGGTAAGGGAGAGGTCCTTGTGGAGGGGCAGCTTGGTGTGGGATATCAGCATCTGGGAGAGGTAAGGAAGGCACCATGCATAGTGTGGTCCAGTGTGGGTTAGGTCTCAGAGCCTAAGCTGGATAAAGAGAGTGTCCAGGTGGGGGGCTAGCCCAGTATGAAAACTTGCAGCCTAAGTAGGGTAGAATGGGTACCCTTGTTGGGAGGTGACACGGCATGTCAGAGCCCAAGCAGGATAGAAAAAGTGTTCATGCAGAGTGTAGATCTGGTGTGGGTTTCAAACCAAGCAGGATAACGTGTCTGTCCACATGGTGGGATAGCCCAGGATGAGACTCAGCACCCTACAAGGTAAGGAGGGCTTCCACCTAAGGGGGGGACACCTTATGTGGGATGTTAGAGCCTAAGGGAGTCTAAGAGGTGGTCAGGGGAACAGTGTATGTATGTGTATGTATGTGTATGTGTGAGAGACAGAGATAGAGAGAGGGAGAGGGAGAGAGACTGTGTGATACAGGACAGGTATTTGCAGGTCTGGAATGGAAGCTGGTCCTTCCTCCAGCAGCCAGTAAGGAGAGCTGCTCTCCAGGGTTCTGGAGGTGACAAGCAGCAGAATGAGTGGAGACTCAGGATGGGATCAGAGAAAGCAATGAGGGGAAAGCCCAGAGCAGGGAGGAGCAGCTTCAGAAGGCCCAGGACTCAAGCTTTGCCTTCCCCCCTATGCTAGAGGAAGCTGGGCCTTGAAGGTGGGGAGGCTGCCGTGTGAGTTTGTATCAATGATCCTCTTTCAACCTGGTACCAAGAATTTGTGTGATCAGCCAGAAATGGTGAGGTAAAAGTGACACGAATAAGTGTTTGTTTGGGTCATTTGGTCAATGAGTAATTATATTTGCACGTGGAAGGAAGCACACAAATTTTATTTTTTCTGGTGAGTTCAGTGAACACAATTCTCAGGGGCAGGGCACAGTGGCTTATGCCTGCAATCCAGGCACACTGGGAGGCGGAGGAGGGAGGATTGCTGGAGTTTCAGTTTTTGGCCAGGACTAAGTTTGAACCTGCTACCTCCAAGTATATGGGGCCGGTGCCTTACTCCTTTGAGCCACAGGCACTGCTCTGGAGCTCAGGAGTTTCAGACCAGCCCCAGCAAGTGGATACCCTGTCTCTACTAAAAATAGAAAAAACTAGCCTGACCTGGTGGCAGGTGCCTATAGTCCTTTCACTTGAGCCCAGGTGTCTGAGGTTGCTGTGAGACATATGATGACACGACACTCTACCCAGGGCGACTGAGTGAGACGCTGTCTCAAAAAAAAAAAAAAAAAAAAAAAAAAAAAAAAAAAAAGAAAGAAATTAGTTGTCAGAAAAGACTTCTTTGTCTGGTTCCTCTTTTCCTTGCCTTCCTATTTGTTTCTCCACCCTTTGAGCTCCCACTTTGATCACACCTGCTAGCATAGGTTTAAGGCTGTGATTTTCACTGCGCTGATCCTGGGGATTGGGTCTCTGTGGACTGAGTAGCCCCCACATTGCAATTTCAGTTCTCATGAGGTCTCTTTAAGGGGTGTTTACCTGTTTAGTGCTTCTGCTTTCATCAAGTTGAGGAATAGGAAGGAGATAAAATCTATTACCATATTTGGTTTTCATTGAATAAATATTTTAAGGAAGCCCTGAAGATTTTCTGGTGAAAAACAGAGGCCTCTTCTGAATATGGCTTCAAAAATTACTTTTTCTGGAGTGAGGTTCAAATATGGATGCACATTCTTTGGCAACCACCCAAACTCCCCTACAGGTAAGAACCCTTTCCTGGTTGTCAGAATTAAGGATGAGATGAAGGATGGAGAGAGGGTTTATAAACAAGGCATAGGTGGTGTCTGTTGCTGGTTCTCTCACTGGCCATGTTTGGGAAACAAGAAAGTCCCAAAAGACTGAGTTGCCTGTAGATAAGCATGAAGGGGTTGTACAGTTGTATAGTGGGGAAGAAAGGATTTGTGATGCCGTTTTTAGTCCCAACTCTGCTGACTATAAGAAAACATAGATATGAAAAATTAACTATCTTCCTGAGCTAAGGTGAGTGCTCTGATGCTGAGATGCTGTTGTCCTGTGTTTTCCTAGGCTGAGTTAGTCTGAGGTTACAGCCCCTCGCCCCCTCAGATGAAGGGGTTACTGATGAATTTGTGGGATTTGTGTTTTGATTAGAGGGTAAGGGTGTGAGTGCAGAGTGATGGGACTGTATTTGTTAGTACAGAAGTGGATGGAACAAAAGACCATTCCAAATGAAAGACTACAAAGTCTTAAAAAAAAAAGTTCCTTAAATCTCCAGGGAAATTTTTCTGAAATCAGAAAATCTATGGCATGTTTCATTTCTGAGAGAGATTCAATTAATTTTGGAGTAGATAAAGGCACTTTGGGCGGCATATGTGAGTGCTCAGACACAGAAGAGAGTAAAAATTCACGCGGAGTACAAGAAGCTATTGGAGGGAGGGAGTCAGGATGCTAATGGTTCCGAAACACCTCTGTGGAGGTGTCAGGAGAACTTAGGAAAATTGTTTTTTTCTACATAAACACTTTGCATAATTTCCTTATTATATAAATAACAATGATTAATATAGGGAAAAATCAGAAAACAACAGAAATTTAAATTATACTCTTATTTATTATTTAGAGAAAACCATAATTTTCATTTTAGTGCATATCCTTCCACCTGTAAGTATACATTAATGTGGATATGTATTTTTCTAAAAAGTCACTGGCTTGGTGCCCATAGCTCAGTGGTTAGGACCCAGCCACGTACACAAGGGCTGGCTGGTTCAAACCCCACCCAGGCCTGCTAAATAACAATGACAACTGCAACAAAAAAATGGCCAGGCATTGTGGCAGGCTACTTGGGAGGCTGAGGCAAGAGAATTGCTTGAGCCCAAGAGTTTGAGGTTGCTGTGAGCTGTGACAGCACAGCACTTTACCTCGGGCAACATAGTGAGACTCTGTCTCAAAAAACATATGTAAAATAAAAAATAAATAAATAAAATAAAAATGAAATCATATTATATAGTACTGAGATTCTCTTCCCACTCCCAGTATGAGATAGTGACTGAAAAGGTGGACCTTGTCCTGAAGATGTAATAAAGGATGATTATAAATGTTTACCTGCTATAGCATTATTATTATTATTATTATTATTAGAGACAGAGTCTCATTCTATCGTCCTCAGTAGAGTGCTGTGGCTTCACAGCCCACAGCAACTTCCAACTCCTGGGCTCAGGAGATTCTCTTGCCTTAGCCTCCCAAGTAGCTGGGACTCAGGCACCCACCTCAACGCCCAGCTATTTTTTTGTTGCAGTTTGGCCGGGGTCAGGTTCAAACCCGCCACCCTCAGTATACGGGGCTGGCACCCTAACCACTGATTCACAGGTGCCACCAACTGGTGTAGCATTTTTAAAAGTAAAGTTGGAAATATTCTAGAAGGTTATTTAAATATATAATGAAATAGTATTGAACCATGATATAAAGTGTTAATAGAAATGTGTTATGAAAAATCTTCATGAGCCAGCATAGCACAGTAGGTGAATTGCTTCCTGTCTTTGGCTCTTAGAACTTACCAGCTTGGCGTCTGTGGCTCAAGCGGCTAAGGCCAGCCACATACACCTAAGGTGGCGGGTTCGAATCCCCAGCCTGGGCCCGCCAAACAACAATGATGGCTGCAACCAAAAAATGGCCGGGCGTTATGGCGGGCCCCTGTGGTCCCAGCTACTTGGGAGGC